TTGCCATTTCTTTCCGTGGTATACTGGTTGCCAACCAAGGCTAAAAAACATAGTCTGTCCTGATACTCAACCCATAGCTTTCTGGAGAAGATATGGATTTATACCTTTCCAAAAGGTATTTGTGCGCAAGGGAATCTAATGATCTTGATTGGAATTCGAACTCAGATCTCCATGTTCTCATTCCGAGCTGATAACGATTACACCACAACACTCATCCCATATAATATACTACGAAAATTATAAACAAACTTCAAATTCTCTATATCAAAATCAATCAACCAACAATGACTCAATGAAATCTATTACGAATATAGCAGCAACGTATTAAAATGCACATAAAATCTATATAGTAATGTCACTTTACATTTCTCCTAATTCTCGGTCAGCTTCCTTATATTTCAACTGTTGTTTCATTAAAAAAGAATCCATAAGTACAAGAGATAAAATTTAAAAACTTCTAAAATAACTATAACAGCGAGTTCGCGCGTCTTTGTAAAAATCACTGTAAGAACGAAATGCAGATTTTATAGTAGTTACAATAGCATTTCTGTCTTTGTCATTTGTCCCTGAAGATGATCTTAGAAAAGCTCAGAAGTACTTGGGTTAAAAAGAAAACACGGTGCCATTCATGGTGGATTTTTTTTTACTTAACATCAAGAATTTGATTGCACAGCTGAAAGGATCAATAATCAATACCTATAATCTTCCAAACTCTCTTTCCTTTAATATTTTGCATAATTTCATCTATATATTTTAAAGTTATGCTTATTTTTTATTCTTCTTTAAATTTTAAATATATATATATTGTAATTGGGTCGTTTAATGATTACATGATACGTAACTTATTTAACATGACATTTTCGTCCTGCCCAAGAATTATTCTCGGACAATGTATGCGTGTGTACGACTGTGCATCCGAAACTTGGATCTTAATTGTTGTCTACAAGGTTTGAGAGATATTCCCCATCCCCGTTGAGGAGGGTTTGAAAATATCTCTGTCTATCTCATGAGGCTTGTTCCCACGCTTGCAACTCAGATATAGCGGATTTGGTTACGTGTGTATGTACACAGCGGCCAGAAGATCACATCAGGTCAACACTGTACCTGTGACCCTTGATATTCTGATATGATACTGAATGCAATATCTATTCGGGAATGATCACTAGTGAGGAATACAATGTAGTACCATTCCATTCCGCTATATAGGAACTATTCGCAAAACCAAACATCTACCCACATTCCACCCGTAGTTTCTCAAACACTCTACCTATCATAATCAACTTAATAATACAATCCACACAGTTGCAGATTATCCGACAACCCAATCGAATGAAGGTCGAAACCAAAAACGACAGAAAATTATTTCGGCACAATTAAATTTCCCAGCCAATAGAATATATACTTTTACAGAAATACAAAGCATGATATCGTTCGAACCACATACTAATAAAATGTACAATCCAATAAATATTAAATAATATATTATGAAAAAAAAAAGAGAATAAATATAGAAATGAACAAATGATAAAATATTCGCCAAACAGTTCGAGAAACTTTGCAGGTAATCAAGCAAACGCCACAAAATATTCATGAGAAACCCAGCCGCACTGAATATATGCTAGATATACTAAAAACCAGAACAGCAATTTTACAGTCAGATGAAGCGCTTTAGCTGTTTTTGATGGGTATTATATATATTTCATTATTATTATTTATGTTGCCTCTTCATTTTTGTTATGAATTGTTCCTTTTTGTTAGGACTGTTTCACTTTTGCTATGAAATTCTTCTTAATATGATTGATATTATCGATCTAATACACACACACACATATATATGTATATATATATATATATATATATATATATATATATATATATATATATATATATATATATATATATATATATATATATATAAGGCAAACGTTATTAATAGTAACAGATATTTTGTGTCGATTAATTTTATTGGTTGACACAAATGTCTATTATTTTTGAATAACATTTGCTGCCTAAAGAGACACACACATACAAACACACGCACGTCTTTTTCAAAAACTTAAAAACATATATTTGAAAAAATACTTATAGATTTAATGTAATGAGAATTTTTAAAGATATATATAAAGTTTTTGAAAAGATTATATCACTATATAAATCGTCCCTAATTACGCCAGCATTCCTATAAACTGATGTGGGATGTGTATATTCATTAATATATATATATCTATATATATATATATATATATATATATATATATATATATATATATAATGGACTCTCTCGCGTCGGTTTCGACGTATCAGGATCTGACAATTTAATTGAGTCAGTTATGAAATTTTGTGTGATAATCTTAAGTCGCACTTAAAACCCGCTAGTGATTTACAAAGGAGGCCATATGGAGCAAAAGTGAGGATTGTGAGATGAGATCACTGTTAGATTGGTTGACGTTTTAGATCTTGCTCTAGCTTCTTGAAGGCCGATTCAGAGAAGCAGATTGAAAACTGCAGAGTCCACTCACTAAAACACGCTAATCTTCATTCTACCCGCTCCAAGGCCAAGCGCTCGGCGGTTTTATGTTTGACAGCTGCCAAGTTGCTCTTCAGCTTGTTTTTGTATCTTAGCCATAGGCGTCCTACATTACTGACATAACTGGCTGTACATTAGGACCTTGGGTATCCTGTCATCAGATATTCTCAACACATGACCGCGCTGAGACTGTATGAGACAGCTTTTATGGAAAACATCCAGATGGCGTATATGGTACCTGTATAGAGTCCACGATTCTGAGCCGTACAAAAGGATGACAAGGACAACAGCTCTATAAACTCGAATACCCCGTTCATATATATAAATACACTATATATATATATATATATATATATATATATATATATATAGTTTATTGGGTAGCAGATCATTATTTAAACATATTGTTAAGTTAAATATAACAAACAATAAATGGCATCTTGAACTTACAAACTGCGACTGCTATTCCGCGACCGTTATCATCGCTTAGCAATCTTCAATGTCAACATAGGAGAATGTCATCTTCCATGGTGAATATCTTTGTTTAAATATCCGTATAATCACTCTGAAGATGGCTCAGGTTAGCCGAAATCTTAGATCAAGGACAAACTTAATAAAAATATCCAAATGTTGGACAATTTTTGTCTTTATTTTCACCCGAAATTAAAGCCAACATTAGAACGGCTCGTAATCAGACATAATACAACTCACATAATTCTTTTTGTAAAATTATAAATGCCTAAATTAAACATCGAAACAATGCTTGAGTTAAATCTTTAGAAAATAACACGTTTTATTAAAGTTATAAGATTTAGCCTCATTTCATCTATGTTCCAAATATAAAGAGAAAGTGCACATTCTGTAAAGGAAGATTTCTCGAATGCGCAACTCTATAGATGTAATATACACTGATTAAAGTGAAAAAATAAAGTGGGGCGTCTATTTCAGTTACGAAAATCCACTATAATAACGTTTGATGCAATAAAAATGTAGGATTCAAAATAAATCCATTAGCTCTTTAGAAATGGCGTATATATGAATATATTTAGGTATAAATATATATGCATGTGTATATAGATTTATATATATATACATATGTGTGTGAGAGAGAGAGGGAGAGAGAGAGAGAGAGAGAGAGAATATCTAAATGTGTGTGCGTGTGTGAGACCATAGGTGTTGGTTTGTGCATGAGTATGTGTATATCAATATCTGAGAGAGAGAGAGAGAGAGAGAGAGAGAGAAATAGAAAGAGAAAGAGAAGGAGAGGCTCACACAGAGAGAAGATATATTAAAAGTAACAAATGAAGAAGACGATGAAAAAGGAATAATGAATAAAAACAAATGAAATAGAAAAAGAAAAAGACTGAGTAGAACACGGAAGAAAAGAATGAAATAAAAACGAATAAGAATGAGGAGAAAAAAATGGATATAAAAGCATCGAACAGACAAAAAGATAATTATAGCCAAATGGGTCCAGGATGTGTGTCAGGAAGCGGGGAAGAAGAGGACGGGTGTGATTGGCTAAAATAATACAGATGAGAATTGCAAATTCATTGGCCTTGATTTCATCGCTTTTTCGGCAAGCTCTTCCGCTAGCATTTCGTCAAACACGCCAATTCCATTATTCCGTCATTGTTCTTGCTGTTAATTGATTTTCTCGTATCTTTCCTCCAATGATTGGTACATAACGATGAACTAGGAACATAGGAAAACCATCAACCATTTCCGCATGGTATAAAGTGTAAGGTTCTTTTTCAAGAAGTCAGAAACTTTATACATTATAAAATCATTTATTGAGCTAAGCTGTTGTTTAAGATTTTTATTTTAAGTATTGTCATGTACGGCACAAGAGTGCAGAGAATCCATACAAGAAAACAGTTTATTCGTCATTTTGAGGTCAGCTAGGAATTCTCGTATCTGTGAAAAGTTGAATTCATTACAAGTTAAAAAATGTCAAGGAATACTAAATGTATTTCATCATACACAGAAGAGGAAAGAAAGAAAGACAGAAAGAAAGAAATATGGAAAGGAGCGAACGGACGAAGTGGCTTAAAAACGAAAGTGTCTACAGGAACAGAAGTTGTAAAGAATGAAATACACTTCAAGAAACAAAAAAAAAAAAATAAAAGAATGTATGATAACGGATCAGAGAATTGAAGCGTCCGAAAGAGGCGAATGAAGTTAGAGATAGATAGACAGAAAGTAACAGGGAAAGAAAGAAATAAAGAAAAGTCTATAGGAACGAAACAATCCAGAAAACTTTATAAAAAAGCTATAAGCAAAGAATGAATGGAAAAATTATTATAAAAATTATATATTATAAAAATTATATATTCAAGAAAGAAATGGTATACAAAATCAAATCATATATGTAATAAAGCTATACACAAAGAAATGAATAGAAAATAAGAATATGAATGAAAACAACGAAAGGAAGGATCTTAAATAACGAAGGTGACTACGAGAAAAGAGGCTATAAAATGAAAGAAAGATGTATTGATTGAAAGAAAGAAAGAAAGAAAGAAAGAAAAAGTAAGAAAGAAAGAAAGAAAGGAAGACGTTTAAAGAAAATTCCAACAGTTAAATAAAAGAAAGAAAGAAAGAAAGAAAGAAAGAAAGAAAGAAAGAAAGAATGGAAGAAAGTTAAGAAGGAAGGAAGGAAGGAAGGACTAATTAATGGATGGGTTGATTTGGCGTGAATAACGAAAGAGTCTGTAAGAAAAGAGACTATAAAAAATGAAAGAAGAACAAACTGAGAGAAAGAAAGAGTGATGAAAAGAAAGGAAGGAATGATCGATGGGTGGATGGAGGTGGCTTAAAGAACAAAATAGTTTTTAAGTTAAGAAAGTATAATGAATGAAAAACAAATAGAAAGAAAGAAAGATAGGAAATTAAGATGGACATGGTTTAAATAACGAAAAAGTCGACAAGAAAGAGGCTATAAAGTATGAAAAAACGACAGACTGAAAGAAAGAACAAGGAAAGAAATAATGAATGAATGAAAGGGAGAAAGAAAGCAAGTTAAGAAGGAAGGATGGATCGATGTGTCTTAAATACCGAAAGATTCTACATAGAAAGAGACTAGAAAGAATAAAATAAAGAAAAATTGGAAAAAAGAAAGTTAAGAACAAGACAGAGAGAAGGAAGGAAAGAAGGAAGGAAAGAAGGAAGGATGGATGGATGTGGTTTAAATAACGAAACAGTCTACAAGGAAATTGGCTATAAGGAAGTAAAGAATGTCAAACTAAAAAAAGGAAGAAAGAAAGAACGAAACAAAGAAAGGCAAAAACGAATAAAAGAAGATGGAAGGAAGGAAGGAAGGAAGGAAGGAAGGAAGGAAGGAAGGAAGGAAGGATGGAAGGAAGGAAAGATGGATATGGCTTAAAGAACGAAAGACTACTCGGAAAAAGGCTACAAGAAAAACCAAAGAAGTTATAATAATGAAAGAACGACAATCTGAAAGAAAGAAAATAAGAAAGAGAGAGAGAGAGAGAGAGAGAGAAAGTTAAGAAGGAATGATGGTGTGAAGGAAGGATGGATCGATCGAGCTGGCTTAGATGACCAAAGATTCTATAAGGAAAGAGATTGAAAGAAATAAAGACAATTAAGAATGAATGAATGAAGGAAACATGGATGTGGCTTAAATAACGATCCTACAAGGAAAATGGCTAGAAAGAAAGAAAGTTAAGAAAGGAATGAAAGGACGAAAGAACAAAGAAAGGAAGAAAAGAAGGAAAGATGACTGTGGCTTAAAGAACGAACGACTAAAAGAAAAGAAGCTATAGCGGTGAAAAACTGAAAGAAAGAATGAAACAACCAAAAGAAACAGACAAAATGAAATTGGATAATTTAAACTACTATAATAATAATAATAATAATAATAATAATTTAAAAAGTGTAATTCACAAAGAATGAGTTAAAAAAAATGAAAATTTTCCAAAATGTGAAATGAGGAGAATAATAGAATGAGGAAAAAATAAGTTATTAGGAGGAATCTTTCCTCTGGAAAGGACAAAGCAAGGTGAAATTATTTACGAAATCGAAGAAGCAAAGTCCAATGTTGTTTTTCAATCCTTTCTGTTTCCATTATGGTCTGATTCTGAGAATTCTCTCTTCCACCGCCATTCTTTTCTTCTTATTGATTGACTCTTCGCAACTCTGCAATTACAAATTATGTCGCTTCACATACAAAAAAAAAAAAAACGAAAAACTTTCACGATTTTTGCTTATATATAGAATTGTTTTTTAAGTACTTTTTATTGTTTCTTTTTTGTTTCATTTCGTTACTTTGGGGAGGGATGGCAGGGAGGGGTGTGTTCCTTTTACATTTTTTTTTTTTTTGGTTTACAACGATTTCTGTGATTAACAGTGAAAGTAGTGTTTTTCCAGAGTCGTTTTGTTTAATAGACGAACGACCAGGAAGAAAATATTGATTTCGTAATTCAAAAGGGTTTTCATCTCCGAAAATAGAAAATTGTACAATTGTTTTAAGCGCTGAACAAAGACTTCATCAAAGTTTACTTGCTTTCATACGCTCACTTCCACACACACACACACACACACACACACACACACACACACACACACGCACGCACACTCACACACTTCCATACGTACACTTTCACACAGACACAAACACACACTACAAACGCACAAACGCGGACCCTAACATCGCGTCCATTTTAGAATGTGCTATAAATTTCAGTCCAGGATGCACCTCCCAAGATGTCAGTAAACATCAGAATTTAGTTTGTATATATATATATATATATATATATATATATATATATATATATATATATATATATACGCACATGTATACATACATATAAATAAACATAAAATATTTGAAAATTCACACTTATTTTCATTTTTTTAATTAACTGAAATGTAATATTTTCGATCGTGCTCAAAATTTTATTAGATCAATAAATGCAAATAAAGTACAAATTGATTTACAGGGTTATTTAAAAAGAATGAACCGACTTCATGACGCATTGTTATCTACCATCACCTGAAAAGCTCTCATCTTAGTACCGAAGCATGAAAGTTTTCGTGCAGCGAAAAAATAATAAAATATATATATATATATATATATATATATATATATATATATATATATATATATATATATATATATATGTGTGTGTGTAATATCGTACATTGAATGCTGGTGTTGAAATAGTTATCGATGCAATATAACAGCGCTATAAACTATATATTAATAAATATGTACAGCGTTATTCACAAAGAATGAACACATTTCATACGGATTCCTTCAGTTCTCAAGAATCAACATGGAATGAGTCAGTGACCATTTGAAAGAGGAATTTTGTAAGTTTTAAATCACTGCCACAGCGGTGGTGTAGTGACGTCGTATCTCCGGTAACGTTCATTTGTTTCTTTACCCCCGGAATGGTGTGTCCTCAGTAAAAGGCGTTCTGCTTTCTCGAGTTCACGAAAACAAATACAGTTGTCACGATGCAGCGTCGTTTTTGAAGGCAATTCTACATTAATTCGCCCTCTTCTAAGAACATTCGGTGGTGATTTTAAAAGTTTCAAGAGAGTGGGTGTCTGTTTAAAAGAAAAACTCCAGGACGACTACGAGTTTCAAAAATAACAAGTGACGAGAATCCGTGCTACATTTGAGGAGAGTCCGCGGAGGTTCTCAAATCGTGCTAACCGTGAACTTGTGATATCTCAATCCAATATCTGGCCTGGGTTAAGAAGACATTTGAAACCTTACAGACAACGCCTCATTTAGTAACTTAACAAAACCTTGCTTTTTGTGCGGGATCCTCAAACCTCACCGTGTGTGATTTTTTCTCGTGGGGATGCGTAAAAGATCGCGCTTATGTTCTAACCGCTACCCACTAACCTCGATGACCTTAAACATCGATTAACAACAGCGATCATCTCAGTGGACCGTGATATACTACCACTCATCTGCGAGGAATTCTCTTATCGCACTGATGTTGCTCGTGCTGCAGGTGGTGGTCACATTGAACACTTGTAAGATAGGAAATGAAAATTGATTGTGAGTAGGATAATTGTAACTTGGCTGAAGTTTTCTACTGCTTTTCCTTATTAAAATATTACGTAATGAAATCGGTTCATTCTTTTTCAATTAAACCTGTATAATAAAAAAAGCAATTCCTGTCAAAAGATTTGGGATAACTAAATATATATATTACAGTACAATGTAATACCAAATTATAACAACGATTAAAGACACAACTAAACCGCTTTATCCCTCCTCTCTCGTCAGATCAAAAATTAAGAGAAACAATACAGTGGCTAAAAAATACAACTCCAGACAAATGTTATATGTAAGGAAATATAACATTAGAGGCGAATTACCTTTAAGATCGCTAAGCACTCTTACTTACAGAGAGATGGCTGATAGGACTTAATATACACTGATTTCAATTAGCCCTAATCAGCATTGACAACATGGCCGAGCTATAAGATCAGGCTCACTACTTTTAATCACATGTTCAGATATCATTGAACCTGAAACATTAATGCACTTAAGTAAATTGTCCACATTTCTCTTGTGGTTCATTTGTGCTTCCAAACCTTGAGCCATTCTGGCTACACAGTCAGCATAGCACTGATCTTCTAAAAAGCACAAAACTAATATGATGGGTAGGCAGAACAAAATTCCATATTGATTTAAACCTGGGTCTTTTACCAAAATCTATACGTGTATTGGTGGAAAAATAATAGCTTCTTCCAGCAACAGAAAATAGATTAGCAAATCTCGCTCCCACAACGCCAATCCATGTCACGCAAATAAACGCGGTATTTCGGTGGTTCAGTCGGTCTAGGCTAACGAAAGTGTGGCGTTTTCCCTAATGCCGGACTCCACAATATCCAAAGAATAACTGTTCTCGCTTAAAACTTCTCTGATGAATTCAATTTCAGAATATCATTGAGTTTTCAGGCATATGACTTTGGCTCGATGAACCCAGATTTGAATCAAATTGATTTTCAACTATTTAGAACAGAAGGGATTCAACCAGGTACAGGGTTCGATGGATAAATTGTCGTTTAAATTATGCAAAAATAAAAATAACACTGACAATTCATTCTAACAAGTATATTTATCAAAATTATACAAACTATCTAGAAATACTAAAGAGTAAATTTATTCAATAAAATTACTATAGGCTTAAACTAAGGCCTCCAGGCAACTTTGGAATCTCCTGCATCTCTTCTGGACGGTCTCCTTGTTTAAGATTGTGAATGCCGCCATAATCATTGCCTTCAGTTCATCTTTTTTGCTACAAGGAGGTTTTTCGGCTCTTCGCTCAACTGCGTCCCAAATATAATAATCAAGGGGGTGCAGTTTGGGGAGTGAGATGGCAGGGGTGATGCGGTCGCAGAAATTGTCTGACAGCCATAATTGGCTTCTCCTGCTTGTATGGCATGGTGAAGAGCCTTCTTTTAAGACGTAGGCACCTTCTTGACCCAGGGCAGCACTAACTCCTCAAGGCACTATGTAGGCTTCCGTATTGTCTGAGGCCCTGTGGGAAGATGAATGGAGGCATAATATCACCATCAGCGTAAATCCTGAATGTGTTTTATGTACCATGACACCGAGAAACAGGAGAAATGAAATACAGTTCGAATGTGGGCGATTTGCTACTCTGTAAGTACCTTGGCTGGTCCTAGCCATGAAGATCTGACTTAGTGGAACAAGGAGATGCAGTTTTGTGCGAACACTTTCCATTGAAGTAGCGACAGTGCAGCGAGGGGGACTCACCACATCCCGCCTGTGAGAGACAGAGGTTGGAGTGTGGAAAATATGTTTTCTCCCGCAAAGACTCGGAGACGATTTTGACCTCTACCAAGACTGGAAAGGTAGGTCTGGCCAGCTTCTGTTCAAACATGGCAAGAATACTCCATTTTCGGCCTGATCTGGCTCTTATAAAGATAGAGGATAACATGATGAATGCATTCCTGGCACATCTTTTTTTGCGATAGCGAGCAACTACCTCGTCGAATTATCTTAGGTTGCCCCGAAGTCTCGAAATCTTGTTCCTTTCATGTGAGACTTGATTTGGAAAAAGGGAAAAGTTGTAAGGGGCAAAACCTGAGGAATGTGTTTAGTCAAAGACTGCAGCACAAGCCAATGTCAGTGATGGAATCTCGGGGTGGGGGGAGGTTTGAGATGACCATTTTTTCGTGAACTGCTATATACAACGATAGCATGCGAGAACTCTATAACTTAGCGTGAATACGCGACACAGATCAAAAGGTCTATCTGTGCCAAGCGTCTTCACTCTGCGTCTTTTTTTAGTTCCGTTACCATAGCAATTTCATTACCCCGATACTTTTTGATCAGACCTGGTACATATATATATATATATATATATATATATATATATATATATATATATATATATATATAGAGAGAGAGAGAGAGAGAGAGAGAGAGATTATCACTGTTCAGATTACTGTTTGACCGTTCTGCTATTCCTTCCTACCATCTTGTATTCTGTTCTTTACACATCTCTGTCGGGAAATATTGAATACTCCAGGCAGGGCTGGTATAAGCAGTCTTCGTTCTTTCCATTTACTGAAACCTTCATTAAATAGTAATGTTCTTTGTGACGATGTACATTTAATCTCGTAGAGTTTGCCGAAATTGTACATCCAATATAGTTGTCAAGATGGCTTCCCTCTTGTTTCTTCACAATATGCTGGAAGTGTTTGCTGTTTATTCATTCACAATGATTTTTTATTTAGAAACTTGTAACCAATACAGGATTCTGTTTTCAGAAGTTGTTGCTCACTTCGTGTGATACTAGTTAATCAAAGCCAGTTGTTCTCTTTATGTTGTTAGGTAGCATTAGATGTGTTTAGTTTTAAAGAATCTCTTTGAAATAGATTGCTTTTGACTGTGGCAATTTTTATATCAAGGTGTTTTTCCTTAATTCGATAGAAGCATTTTTGTTTATTACTTCTAATATGGGATTTTTTTTACCATTTCACCAACCAAGTAAATAAGGACTCTATGACGCAAAAGGGGTTATTTATTGAGAAATTATATGAAAAGATAAAAACATTATTATTGTGAGA